TACGACTATTTTGCAAGACTGTCAAATAAAACTGGAAAAAATTATATCTTGTATTGAAAGGCGACTTTTAAAAGGGACTCAAGTAAAAAAACAGGCATTAATTGCTTAAGAATATCCAGATAAATGCAAAGCTTCACTTATAGATAGATGGATAGATAGATAATTTTTATTAAAGACCCGTCGGGGTCCCGTCAAAGCAAGATAAAATAAATTTGCATGCGAGTTTTAGACGAGGTAGGCCGAATCTTTACAAAATGCAATTCCTAGTTTCTAAATTAGAAGTCCATTGAGAAACATAATGATTGAGGGGTGAAAAAAAAACTCCTAAGAAAAAGCTAAAAATTATTGGATTAATTTTACAGGAGAAAAAAACCCCTCTTTAAAAATAATAACTGAAAAAAGCGAGCAGGACTGGCCTGTAGGTGGCGGTATATAACGGAATGTTTTCGGTCATCGTCAGGGTATCAATAAATGTCCGCCTTGATGGGTACGAATGTGGGTCAAACAGGACTGGCTTGCAAATGGCATTGTATACGGGATTCACAATTGAGATCGTCTGGGCCTGATTGGTACGCCGCGTCAAAGAGGCCAGACGAGAGGAACCGAGATGCGATCGGCCACAGCACGCTTCGAGCTCAGCCGAGCAGTGAGGAAGGGAGGTACGACCGAACTACTAGTAAACAGTGAAGACTGAGGGTTCCGCCGTGAGTGTCGACAGACCGCATGAGGCCGGAATGCGGGAGATGACATCAAAAACCGCGAAAATTGTCGCTATGGGGGGGAAGGATAGCGATGGATTTAGAAACCAATTCAAAACAGGGGTTTCTAATGATATAAATTAAGAGTTACCACTTACTCTACAACTAAATCCCAGGAGGACCCTTCTCGAAGTCAAGAATCTGAGTGTTCGGGAATGAGACCGTTAACAGTGCCTTTATGCTTTCCGGTGTAATATGGTTGCGTAATTTCGACTTGAATATCAGTAACCTAGGCGATAATCTAATTTCAGGCGGAAGATTATTCCAAAGGAAGGCATATTTGGAAGCAAAGAAGAGGGAGCGCTTAGATGTAGTACAAAGAGGCGGCGGAATCACCATGCAGGAGTTGCGCGTGGCATAAGACCGATCTCTCGGAGTGAGAGTGTCAATGTGCGGAAGACTGGAGCTAGAGTTGATGCGAAAAAGGAAGCAAAGGCCAGCTTCGAGTCTTCTAACCCACAAAAACTTCATGTTCGCCAGCTGACATCTCTGAGTATAAGAAATACTGGACGAAGCTTGATAGAACAGTTTCCGAGTGAAAACCCTCTGAACATTTTCGATTTTGTTACGGTCGCCGGCGTTCATTAAACCGAAGAAAGGACAACAATATTCGAGGACTGGAAGAACAAACATTTGATAAAGTCTTAGCTTCATTTCCGGGAGGAAAAAATTATGCGATATGAATCCACATATCTGCGCGGCTTTGGCAGAGATTCTATCTGCATGAGGTGATAAAGCAAGTTTATTTGTATAACTTAGACCTAGGTCCTTTATGGTGAGGCATTCTGAGAGTGGGTTATTCTGAAAAATTATGGGACCAGGAAGTTTGGTAGGACCAAAAGACATGAAACTACACTTGGCTGATGAAAACTCCATCTGCCATGTCGAACCCCATCTGCTTAAGCGTAGTAAATCGGCATTAATTTTTTCAACACAAACATTTGCGGTGCCCTTAGAGTATGAGTAAACACACTTGAGGTCATCGGCATAAGTAAAAGTTTGCGAATTTCCGAGTTCAGTCGAAATATCATTGATGTACAGAAGGAAGAGTAGTGGACCCAGAACCGTGCCTTGAAGTACGCCACTCGTGATCGAGTGGGGTGTCGAGTAGCTATTACCGACCATGACTTTCTGATATCGGTTGGACAGATATGACCTGATGAAGTCGAGTAGAGGCGGCCGGATGCCGAGGGCTTCCAATTTTACTAAAAGACGTCTATGGGGCACCTTGTCAAAGGCTTTGCTAAGATCAAAGTAAATAACAACCACTGACTGCCGCTCATTACGAAGAGAAGTGATTAGATTAAGAAAAGCCAAGTGGCATGTTTCGCAGGAGCGTTCAGGTAAAAATCCATGCTGACTAGAGCTCAGAAGCCGATTAGCTAGACAGAAGTCAAGAATTTCATTGAAAATAATCCTTTCAAGAAGTTTTGCTAGAGACGGCGTTTTGTGCACGCCCCGATAGTTATTAACATCGGACCGAGATCCTGACTTGAAAACGGGGATTATAATTGACGTTTTCCATGTTTCAGGAAAGAATCCTTTTGAAATATAAACCGAGAATAAATGACTGAGCAATATGGGAAAGTCGGACGCTTGTTTAATAATCGAATTCGGAATCCCGTCCGTTCCTGAGCAGTGTGAGTATTTCAAACGGCTTATGTGTTTCTTAATGAGATCTGAGGAGACATCAATTGTACTAAGTGTCCTATCTGAAAGTGATCGAAAGAAAGGGACCGGATCGGACTCGGTAGCAAGGTGTTTTGCGAAGAAAGCACTAAACAACTCCGCCTTGTCAGTGTCATCGGTGAGGAGGACTTTGTTATCATCTAGCATGGGTGGAAGTTCATGACCACGCTTAGAGGAGGACCGATGACGGAAGATGTTAGCGACGGATTTGCCAGGGTTCGAACCACTGAGAGCAATTGATTCTCTTTGCCTGTCGCGCGCTTGGCGCATCCTTGAGGCCATCTCAAAAATCTCTGTGTTTCTAAGATGAACTGATAAGGAACTAGTGGATAGGTCACGCAGTTGTCGCCTCAACTTTTTTAGTCTGTTCTGAAGAAAATGAGGAAGAAGAGAATCTGAAGAATTAGGCTTGAGATATCTACGCGGCACAAACTCTAGAATGTCCTTGGAAACATTGGACATGACATCACGAAGAATGGTTACATCGCTACAAGTGAGGAAGCCACACCAATCCAAGGATCTCATATAGTTATTTATTACGTCGCTATCTACGCAGTCGTAGTTCATGAAAGTCTGAACGGCGCTTGTCTTTTTTGAAAAGGCAAGCGGTAAGCAACAATGAATTAATACGTGGTCACTGTCAAAGAGGTCCTTTTTTAAAGCAACAGAAAGAGGAGCAATGTCATTGGTAAAGATTAGATCTAAAATGTGATTATCTCTTGTTGGAGAGCGCACCAGTTGGGACCAATGAGAAAAATTGACAATATCTTGAAAGGACTGGAATCTGGGTGGGCAGCTATTGGAAACACAGTCTATTTCAGGAAGGTTAAAATCCCCAGTAATTATTTTAACATCGAAAGCAGCTTCCGAAATTAATTTAAAGATTTCACAGAGTTGTGAATCATCACTGGCTAAAGAATTTGGGGGATTGTAGATACAGCCAATAATTGCCTTTCTTTGCGGTGAGAGGATAACAGATGCAAAGCAGAAGTTTCCCGTGAATGAGGAAACATCCAAGTAATAGGGAGTGTGCTTTAGGTAGGATTTAAGATAAAGAAGACAACCACCCCCACGCCTAGTCGTGCGGTCTTGACGGTAAAAATCGAAGTCATCTATGAGAAGGGCAGAGTGAGGAATTAGAGAATTTGTCCAAGATTCTGTTACACATATAACATCAGGCGTCATTTCCAGAGCAATGGCTCTGATTTGGGCCATCTTGTTTATAACAGACCTGGCATTGAAATTGAGCTGCGCGCCTTGACCTTGACCTTGAATGACGCTAGCTCTCAGTTTGCGGCTCATTCGACGGGTTCCGACCACACATTCAAATTTAACGAGACCGAAATTCTCGCAAGAGGTGACAACCGCGTGAGCTGGAAGCTGCTTGAGTCACAGGTTACTGGCCTCCAGTCTATTAACAAGTGCAATGATCTTCCCATTCAATACTCCGTGCTGAGACTTCGCCTAGGCGGAGTAATTGGCCTCGCGGGGAACGCACAGATGAGAACTCTTCCCAACACCCGGGTCAGCGCGCATCACACCAACATCCAATGCACGTGATGAAATTGCAGCAATTAACGACGCTAATGTCGACCATCACGCCATGTGCAACGATCCCCGATGAAGGGGGGGGGGGCCGTGAATATTCATAGGTATGTGGTAGCATGGCTACTGCATCCTATAAATACTGCAGCCGCATATGCATGAACCACCCGTATCTCCTTTTGTCTCTGATAATGGATTCGAGCAGGAATCCGAAACGTCAGGCTTATAAAGTTCTTGTCCCGGTGATCGTGTCTTCTTCTTCTTCTTCAATGTGTGATGGATGGTGTCTTAACCTCAACCTTCTTCTTCTTCTTCTTCTTCAAGACTGCTTCTTGGAACTCGTCTTTTCGCTTCTATTGGTAATTCATCGCACCCTTGTTGCAAACGAGTCAGATTGCTTTGTAACTGTAGAAAGTCCTCCGGCTTCTCTATAGATTTCCACAATTCGAGATCATTGGCAAACATTAGACAATTTCATTTCAGATAGTCCAGGCAGTCGTTCACATATATCAAGAACAGAATTGGACCCAGGACGCTCTCCAGCGGAAATCCACTGAGAATGGGTGTCCATTCCGACCTGGCGTTTTCGATACACACACGCTGAGATCTGCCGTAAGAAAATCGGCAAACAATTTCAGTAGATTCCCATTCACGTCCATTTGACGTAGTTTAAGAATAAGGCGTCTGTGTGGAACAATATCAAAAGCAGGCGAAGGCACGATCACTGGGACAGTAGGTTTATTTGCCTGAGCTTTCGAACTCGAACAAGAGTTCATCATCAGAGACTACTTGAGTGCAACAATTTGTGAACATTTATATCGCTCATCCTTGCGGGGGGGAGGGGGAGTACGTCCGTGGCTAGGTAGGGTTTGTGCCGCCTGGTCCACGATGTTCCCCCGGCGTGGTGACGCCGTTTGTACTTTGCGACGGTGTGAGCTGCGCCACCTGACTGCGTGGGCGGAGCGCGTGATAACACGCAGGCAAATCGATGTGTCTGTTGATGGAGTTGGTGTCCGACACCCACGCCTCCAACAGCTCTCGCCCTGTCTTTTTGCCGGCTCGCGCCAATATCCGCCTGTTGGCGAAGTCGAACTCATGGCCTTCCTCCAGCGTGTGAGTGGCTACTTGAGATAGTGGGTCGCCTCTCCGAACGGCCCGTTTGCGCTCAAGTATTCGTGAGCTGAGACGTCGTCCTCTCTGGTCTGTGTAGTGGCAAGGACAGTTTTGGCACGGGATTTGATAGACTACGCCCGACTGTTCACCTGCGTCCAGCTGTTCCTTCATTTTCATGATCCTGCTACGCATGGTGGCCACCGGATGATGAGCGATGCCCACGCCTAGCTCTGAAGCAATGCGTTCTGTAGCCTCGGACACATTCTTTATGTACGGTAGGGAGTGCCAAATTGTTGGTGTCTCTCTTCCGTTTGTCCGGCGTGGGTGCGCACGTATGCAGCGACTGATAAAACTATTTGGGTAGCCGTTCTTTGTTAATTGGTCCCGGAGATGTCGTAGGTCTTGCATCCTTCCTTCGGGCTCGCTACAGTGCGTCTTTACCCGGTCGAAAAGCACCCTCACACAGCCCCGTTTGTGCACCAATGGGTGTTGGCTATGATAGTTGAGGACCAGGGTTGTATTGGTCGCCTTTATGTACACTGTAGTGTTGAGTTCACCGTCAGGTGTGCGCATGACGAGCACGTCCAGGAAGGGTAGTTTCTCGTCCTCCTCGTCTTCTCTTGTAAACTGAATGTCGGGGAATATGCTGTTAAGTAAGTCTTTAAAACCCGATAGCTTGTTTTTTTCAATAATCACAAATGTATCGTCCACGTATCGGCGCCAAAACGCAGGTTTGTAATGGCTGAAAGCAACCTTTTCCAGCTCTTGTAGGACCAATTCCGCAACTAGGCTGGATATTGGGGAACGCATGGGTGTTCCTTTGATTTGTTCGTATGTTCTGCCATCGAAGGTGAAAAAGGTTCGATCGCAGAATGCAAAGAGCTGCATTAGGTGCTGGACCTTTAGCGGCCCTGTCGTTTCGTCGTACTTTTCTTCGAGGCGTTTGCGTAGCACGTCGCGCGCCAAGTCTGTTGGAGGCGTGGGTGTCCGACACCAACTCCATCAACAGACACATCGATTTGCCTGCGTGTTATCACGCGCTCCGCCCACGCAGTCAGGTGGCGCAGCTCACACCGTCGCAAAGTACAAACGGCGTCACCACGCCGGGGAAACATCGTGGACCAGGCGGCACAAACCCTACCTAGCCACGGACGTACTCCCCCTCCCCCCCGCAAGGATGAGCGATATAAATGTTCACAAATTGTTGCACTCAAGTAGTCTCTGATGATGAACTCTTGTTCGAGTTCGAAAGCTCAGGCAAATAAACCTACTGTCCCAGTGATCGTGCCTTCGCCTTCTTTTAAACAAGAACCTGGAATGCGCACATTCTCTTCCATTCGTGAATATCAAAAGCCTCTCTGAAGTCAATGTACACGGCGTCGACTGGGAAACCCTTTCGATTTGTTTCGTCCAGCTCTCTATGGATACTAGCAGATTAGTAAGACAGGATCGACCCCTTCGAAATCCATTCTCATGCAAACTGAACAAGTTGTTTTCTTCAAGATGCCGCATCTGCTCTGTTTTCATTAACTTTTTCATTACTTTGCAACAGATGCTTGTGCGACTGACTGGTCTGGAACTACTTGGGACTGTTCTCTCGCCACCTTTATATATGTGGCTTGTATTACCTTGCTTTCAGTCGGTAGGCAGAGCCCGGCCTCCACCGAGGTCTTGAAGATCTTAAATAACAGAGAAATCAGTTGGTCTGAATGTTCATCCAGGACTTTTGCGAGTACGCCGTCCGGACGAGGCGATTTGGTGGGCTGTATTTGCATCGTGTTCTGGGAGGTTGGATTTCGTTTTACTTGAGGATCGATGCTATTATTTCAGTCAGGAGATTGACGTCTACTTCTAGTCTCAAAACTCTGGTGATGAGTTCTCCGCATTCATCACAGCGTGTCGACATTCCAGTATTTGATTTATTTTTGGCCGATTTTAGAAATGCACAGCGTTCTTTAGGATCGATGGTCGGTGGTTCATCCCGACGGGCTGAGAGCGAGTTAAGTATTTCTGGTAAATATTTATCACAGGAAATAGAAAACGGTTTACAAATAAGTAATAGATCGCCTTTTTCTGAGAATATATTATTTTCTTGGACGTTCGGCTGTGCGGGCGTGACCGAGTTGTTATGAGCGTCAGTTCTTGTACGAGGGTTCCCTGTCGCGAATCCCTGACGCGGCCGACTTCTGTCACATAGATGGGTCGTGGACATTCGCATAACCCGTGCTAGCAAGGTTTCTTCGAGATTGCATTAAGTTATAACGTGCGGCCTAAACTGGCAGGTGACTAGTTTACTGAGCACAGAGCAAAGCTTGTTTCCAAACGAAATTCGGTATCAGGTGTCAATTGGAAGCAAAGAACGATTTAGCCTTTGTAGACAGCTTGTCAGTAGTCTTCGCATTTTGCTGGGTTCCGATCACTAAAATTCTCTATAATTACATGCGTAATGGCCAGAGCAATCGCGACCCGATTCCAGCGTTGAGATCCCAAAACGGAGTAATGTAGACAGATGACTACTTGAAAGCATCAGCCTTCTCCAATTTCTTTCAGTCGGTATTCACTCATGACACGAATCCTCCTCCCATGCCTCACGTAGGCTAATGACAAAATCCTTTCCTTCCTGCACTGGAAGACAATCTTTTCTTCTCACTCACGTTGATAAGGACTGAACTGCGCCGGCCGAAGCCTGCCAAATTACCTGGTCCAGATAGAATTCACTAACTTGTCCTGCGAGAATTAGCTGACGTACTGTGTGAGCCGGTGTCCATGATATTTCAGAAGTCCATGGAAGAAGGCGAACTGTGGAGGAATGGTAAACGGCCCATATTTCGCCAATCTGTAAAGGAGGATCCAAGCTGGAGCCCAAAAATTACCGTTCTATTAGTTTAACCTGCATTCCGTGTAAGGTCATGGAACGACTTATTAAAGGAATTTAGTATCGTATCAGGAGCATAGGGACCTGTTGTGTTCTGCTCGGCACGGATTTCGTCGTGGTTACTCCTGTCTTACAAGCACTCTTTGCTTGCAGGAAAAATGGACAAGAGCCATTGACCAGGGCCGTCCATTGGACATCATCTTCTTTGACTTTAAGAAGGCGTTTGATAGAGTTCCTCATGGATGACTTCTACAGAAGATTTGGGGACGTGGAATATAGAGCAACATTTTTAAGTGGATTAAAAGTTTGCTGTCATGGAGGCTCCAAAAAGTGATCGTTGGTACCACTTCATCCGAATGGGTGCCAATAAAAAGCGGCGGTCCACAGGGCTCAGTCCTGGGTCCTCTCCTCTTCCCCATCTATATAAATGACTGTCCTGCAGACCTTGAGTGCGATGGCATCATGTATGCAGATGAACTAAAGATCTGGAAAACAATCAGCTGCGTTGACGACGCGCAGAAACTACAGGAAGATGTTAATAGGCTGCCTGCATGGTCCAGCAAATAGCTTCTGGCGTTTAACGTATCCAAATGTGTAGTCTTGCGACTAGAATCTGGTCGGAGGCGATTCCCAAAACATCATTACACCATAAATGGGGTTCCACTAAAAGAAGTGGACACGCACAAAAACCCAGGTGTCTGGACATGCTCAAACTTGCCGCCCTCTCAGTACTGCAAAAACGTCGCCCGAAAGGCGACCAGCATCATAGACTGGATTCGACGTCCCTTCAAAATCTTTTCTCCAGAACTCTTCTCACAGATATTCGGCACGTTCGCCAGACCGCATTTGGAATACGAAATGCCATCATGGATGCCCTGGATGAAGAAAGACAGTGAGGCCATAGAGCAGGTGCAACGACGGTTGACGGTCTCAGGGCTCTGTCATACCCCGAAAGACTGATCCAGCTGAACTTGCTCTTCCTATCCTGTAGACGAATGAGGTGTGACCTATTATGGACATTCCGCATTATCCACGGGCAGGAAGACTTCTTTGAATTCACGACCTTGAGTCTCCTGCGCGGTCATCCGTACAAAGTCAAGCGGGAGCGTCCACGCCTAGACCATCGGAAGTTTTCCTTCAGCCAGCGTGTTGTTCGACAGTGGAACTCACTCTCAAGTGAAATAGTGACATCTGATACAATGGCTGTATTCAAAAGGCAGCTGGATCGTTTGATCCTTGATAAACGACGACTCTCACTACAGGACTATCTGCGGCCAGTCATAAATTTCATTTCTTGATTTCACCCCAATGTAACCCATTCCTGACTTTAAATGCACTTTTCCCCCTCAAACTATGCAAATGACTGCACTTTATGCCGATTGTATATAGCCGCACTTAAAATATCATATGTACATCGAAAAGACCGCCTGCCGCACCCTTCGCAGTCCCGCACTGTAAAAACGTTTTCCGTAAACAAATATGTTACTGGCAAAATTTATTAAGATGTGCATTTACCATTTATATAGTATGTACCGTTTTCAATAGGGTGGTCAAGGGCACTGCTTATTACCCAAAATGCACTATTATTATTAAATTCGTAAAGAAAATAATATCTTACACAATATAAGCATGGCTTCCGAAAAGGACATCCCTGTCCCCCAAATCTGCTTACTTGTATGGAGATCTGAACTAGAGCTTTCGAAGAGGGCTTCGAGGTCGATGTAGTATACATCAATTTCCGCAAAGCATTCGACATTGTCCCACAGGGACTCCTTTAAAAACTAAGCACCACCAGCATCCGGGAAGATCTTCTGAACTGGATAAGGGCGTTTCTGGTTGGTCAAAAACAGCCTGTCTACATCGGATATGATATGTCAGACTGGGTGAGCATGACCAGTGGTGTGCCTCAAGGCTCAGTACTGGGCCGCTGCTCTTCCTGCTTTGTATTAATGACAGCCCTCAAGAATTCTGCTGTATTAAAATAATTTTTTTCGGCGAGTTTTTGCCCTGGCAAGTCATTAAGGACCCAAATGACCAGAAAACACTTCCAAGTAATCTGGTGGTCAAGGTCAAGGCGCGCAGCTCAATTTCAAAGATAAGTGAAGCTTTGCATTTATCTGGATATTCTTAAGCAATTAATGCCTGTTTTTTTACTTGAGTCCCTTTTAAAAGTCGCCTTTCAATACAAGATATAATTTTTTCCAGTTTTATTTGACAGTCTTGCAAAATAGTCGTAT